GAGGGAGGTAAGGAGGGAGAGAGGGAGGGAGGGAGGGAGGGAGGGAGGTAAAGCAGTTGGCGGAAAAGGTGGGAATGGCCTCGGCTAAATCACCGGTGCAAGACTTGTGTCATGACGACGCTGTTGCCAACATGGAATCCCTAGAGTATCACGATGTCGTTGTCATTGGAGCAGGGATTGCGGGTCTCGAGGCTGCTAGATCCCTTAGGAAACTTGACCCCTCGATCAGCGTCCTCGTTGTTGAAGCTTCTGATAGAATTGGCGGTCGTGTGGAGCACATTGATGGGATTGCACCCTACCATATCGAGCTTGGTCCGGAGTTCCTGCATGGCGCGAACAACTCCTCGATGTTCCAGCTTTCCAAAGCAATGGGCTGCCGGCTTCATGAGTATGCCTATCCGGACCGCTTCTACTTCGGTGCGGAAAGGCGTATGGTGAAAAGAGAAGAACTGGATGCAGATGCGGAGGTGGCACGAGTGCATGAACTGTTTGCTAACCTTGCCGATGAGGCGATAGATCAGTACACCGGCGAGAACGACACCTCTGTTGCTGACTACTTGAGACGCAAAGGGGTCAAGGAGTCCATGATGAAGTTGGCAGACGCTCTCTACGCCAATGATTTCGGCTGTTCTTTGACGGAATTGGGAGTTGCGGAATGCATTCAGGAGGCACGAAGCTGGAGTTTTGGCGACAGCTACTTTATCCTGGACCGCCCTGTGAGTAGCATAATACAATGGCTAGCAGAGGGGACTAACATCCGGCTCTTGTGGCCTGTAGCGGCCATCGACTACTCGCTCGAAAACGCTGTAAGGGTAGCGTCTGTTGATGGACGTGCATTGCAAGCCCGGCGGGTCATTGTGACCGTGCCCATTACTATTCTCCGCGATGGTGATATTCAATTCTCGCCTGCACTTCCACTCGAAAAGCTGCGCATGATTCAGTCGATAAACATGTCGAATGCGATGAAGGTTGTCATGGCCTTCTCCGAACGCTTCTGGCCAGAGGATCTTTTCGATGTGGTGTGCACTGATTGCTTTTTGCCGGAGATCTGGATGACATCCGCAACTCTTTCGCGTCCTGCACCACCTTCATCTTCCTTGCGGTCGTTTTCACCATTGCGCTGTCCATCGTCGGCAAATCTTGGAAAGGTCGCCGTCGTCGGTTTCGTTGCAGGGGAGAGAGCCAAGGAGATGTCTCAATTCTCACACGACAAAATTTTCCGCAAAGCTCTTTCTCAACTAGACGAAATGTTCGGTAAGGCAACAGACTGCGCCATGAAACAAGACGAGGGAGAAGGGTTGGTGGATCTGGAAGGCACCCACTCGTTGAAACGACGCGATGACAGTGGCAAGTTAGTGACGGCGGGAACCCAGTTAATGCAACAGGATACGTCATCGACAGCTCGCATTCGGGAACAACAGACTGTTCATGCCAGCCACTGTACTTCTGTAAGCAGGGCCGGAGAAGACTACAACAAAGAACAAGAAGATGAAGAAGCCAGTGCTATCGCCGACAATCATGGGGAGATGGTGGGTGGTAGGCTGTGGAAGTTGCAGAAAAGCGAAACCAACTCGGGCATCCACTTTTCACAAAGGCATAATCCTGCCTCCTGGCATTTTGCAGGGGGGTTGGTAAAGGACTGGTCGAAGGAGCCATTCATTCGAGGGGGGTATTCTCACCCCTCCAAAGGAGCGCAAGGGGCGCGTGCAAGCTTGACTATGCCGGTTTTACAGAGACTCTTCTTTGCTGGAGAAGCAACACACGAAGGTGTCAATCCCTGCCTTCAAGCGGCAATCGACACCGGTAGAAGGGCTGCCAACCAAGTATTTGATTCGCTGATTCAGAAACCAATGTCGGAGGGAACCAGAAGCCGTCTTGGATTCAATGCATGTTGATTTCTCTCGTCAAAAAGTGAAATATGTCGTATGCAGTACTATGCACTGTTTACCTGCAGAAATTTGAAGAGAGAGAAGCGTTTCTACTTTGAAGCGGTGCGGTTGTTTCTGTTACTTCAGTCCTTTAGACTAAGTTTACTGTTACTTCAGTCCTTCAGACTAAGTTTACTGTTACTTCAGTCCTTTAGTTTACTGTTACTTCCGTCCATTACTGTACTGTTACCTCAGTCCTTTAGTTTACTGTTACTTCAGTCCTTTAGACTAAGTTTACTGTTACCTCAGTCCTTTAGTTTACTGTTACTTCAGTCCTTTAGTKTACTGTTACTTCAGTCCTTTAGTTTACTGTTACTTCAGTCCTTTAGTGTACTGTTACTTCAGTCCCTTAGTTTACTGTTACTTCAGTCCTTCCTTTCAGACATGATCTGATCCTTGATGTGGAAAAAGACAAAGTTTAACAGAAAAAGAGGAAAAAAGACTCAAAAGAGATATAATCAGACATTTCAGATATTAAGCTTCTTCTGCTCCCTGACAAGCTACCACAAACTCGGTTATCTCCTTGTAACTTCATTGGATGTATGATCAGACGTCTCGACGACCCTTGCTGAATTGTTTGTATGGCCATGCATACGAATCGGCAGTTTGGGGTCACTGACAAGCTCAGCCTGATATTTCAAAGCATTCAAGACTTTGCTAAATTTGCTTCCTATTCGGGTAAGAAGCAGAAGATGGCTGTGGTCATCTCCTTTCTCCACAGAGCTGGAACCTTCACTTCTTTGGACGGAACCGAGCTCAGCCTGGCCTGTTTGTTTGTTTGTTTGTTTGTTTGTTTGTAATAGGAAAAAGGAGGACCAGTTCTCGATTTATGCATGTCATCCTCACACAGGGGCGAGGCTAATTGTGCCGAAGGGGATACCCCTGCGCAAGGATGACATGCATAAATAGGAAAAAGAAGGACCAGTCCTCTTTCTCTGGATCGTTCCAATTGTAACGGATGTTGTCGAAGGACAACCGAGCTGGCCTTTATCTTGTGGACTCTCAAAAGTGAATTGTGGTGGAGGGATACCCCGATGAGTATTTTGATTCCACATTGACCGACCTCTCTCGTAGATACGGAGATTGTTGGCAGAGGGGATTGGGGGGGTCGGAATTTGGCAGTGGCGGCATTGGTTGTGTTTGTTCTCACTGCTCACTGATTGGCAGAGGGCATGTGGGGGGTCTGAATCTGCTGCACTGGTACGCAGGCACTGCTGAGCCATAACAGGGGGGACCTGTTTGTAATTTTGTACCCCTGTGTTGGCTTTTGTATTTTTTGGGTTACTTGTAGACTTCAGAATGATCTCTGAATCTGTGGTTTTGTAGTTTCGTACCGGTCCCCTGTTTTGATGAAGGGTTGTGGTTGGACGACGTTCGTGAGAATGTGGAAACAGATTTTGTATAATGCAACGGTTCAAGTTCTGTTTTAATAATGACAAGTGGTATATCCACTGCAGTGTTTTCGTAGATTCTGAATTGGACTGTTTTGTAGAGTAGAGTAGGTCTGTCCTCGATCTCTGTCTGTTGAATGATGAAGTGGTGTGAGGAATCATCGGTTGGCGGTTCGATGATTCGATCCCTACAATTTTCTGGTTTTAGTGGGTCTGTAGAAGTTCTGCTGGCGTTGGAACAACCTACGGTGACTACGCTTTTACTAGGTCTTCTGTAGTATATATACGCCACATTTGACGGAGACATCATCTGCATCGACTCAAGACCCCTAAAGAGGACTGGTCAGGCGGGCCTTAGTCCAAACTATGGTAGTCGGGTCCTACCGCCATGGTTCATTGTCACATTTTTTCAAAAAGTCACGTTGGGGGAATTATCAATTCCGCGTGTATATCTTCTTCCTTCTCTCTCTCTCTCTCTCTCTCTCTCTCTCTCTCTCTCTCTCTCTCTCTCTCTCTCTCTCTCTCTCTC